AATAGATATATCATTCGTAGTAGACCTAATAACATTTATCTTATTCCCAAGATGTAGAATAGTCCTACGAATTCTGTGTCCAGACGGGATCCGAATGGGTGGTGGCAGGTTTGCCAGCTTCTATTTCCAGGCATCCAGAAGTACCATATTTCCAACATAGACTCTATCTCCATGCTAACTTTATTTCTTATGGCTTCCCCTTGAGGGAATGGGCTAGCTGCCCTACAAGTTGTCAGTATCTATTTCTGGGCATTCAGAGTTGCAAAAAGTGTTGTTCAACAACCATCGTCTGGAGCGAGTAGATGGTCTCAGACCCCACTAATTTTAATTTTAAAATCCTGTATCCGTGGATATGGGTAGCGGGTCTTTTTACAACCAAAATTGTTAAGTACCCCACCCCCCGCTTTGACTAATGGCCGGACCACTTGCAAAATGCTTCCGACGGCTATATGACATTAGTATTGCTTTCATTAGGCGGCGGGTAGGGAGGGGAATTTAGCATAATCCATTAGCCCTTGGCCTAATTAGATTTGCATCACTGGTCACACTGACGGCAATGTGAATGAAGCGGTTTGGCGCAGCGTGAAAGGTTTGGTTTCCCAGCCTCAAGGTCGGGGTTTCAATCCCTTGCTGTGCATTTCGCTTGTGTCATTGAGCAAGGCACTTTCTGCATTGCTTCTCTCCACCCAGGTATAAATGGGTACCTGGTGGGGTTGCTTGCTCCTGCGCTGAATACAGCAGCAACACTTAGCATATGGATCCAATGACCATGGACAGAAGCGCTTCGTATCTGTAAAGAAAGGCGCTATATAAATATATATGAATAGAATAGAATAGAATGACAAGGAGATTGAGTATTGTACGATATATACAGTAATACATAATAACGTATGAATGTTATTTGATGTCAATTGTAATAAATACATAAGGAACATGCAAGCAGTTAATCAAACAAATATACGAATATATATAGACAAATAAAAATGCACAAATAAACAATGTGAATAAAGAGAAAAGCAAACAAATTAACAAGCAAATAAACAAACATACATATTCTAGTACGTGTCACTAGGCCTAGGCTATTTCGTGGCCCTAGGTCCAGACCTGTACACCAGATCATGATCATCATCATCAGTTCATTTTTCATAATCGCCGATTCACTTTTTATCATCGAAGTTTCACTTTTTCCATTATCATCAACGATTCACTTTTTCCATTATCGACAATTCACTTTTTATCATCGACTATTTACTTTTTTCATCATTGACAGTTCACTTTTCATAATCGTCGATTCACTTTTTATCATCGAAAATTCACTTTTTCCATTATCTACAAGTCACTTTTTATCATCGACGATACATTTTTCATCATTGACAGTTCACTGATTATCATCAAATTGTTGCTTGAACGGCGTTCCATAGAAATCGATTCATGTTTTGGGATAAAGTTCAGGTAGATAATTTTGATAAAATCCAGATAATTTTAAAATTCAAGAATTGTTTATAATGTTTTCATAAATTTATAAAATAAAATTCAATACAATACGGTATTTACATAGGCCTATTTCCCATGGAATCTGCCAACACGTTCTTTAAAAATATAGAATTTAGGCCCCTATATAGAATTTTAATATAAATCCCCAATTACAATGTAAAAAATAATTAATTCCATAAGAAATCAATTTATAATTCTATAGAAATTGTATATTATTCATTCTATACATTTAACTGTATAATTTTTAAAGACTTTATAAACAATTTTTTTGAAAATCAGAATAAAACGGGAATTCAGGATTTTTCTGAAAGAAAAATAAAAATTCTATAGACACTATATTTAAACAATCTGAAGAGAAAATATATAATTAAATCTAGAAATTGTATAGAATTTAATTAGAATTCTTTCTGTAAAAAGCATATACATTTTTTTCTTTTAAGTAATTATCTATAGAATTATATTTCTATAGCACTATCTCTATAGAGCATGTATGGGTCTTATATAGAGAAAAAAAATCTTGGATCATTTTTCTATAGAATTATATTTCTATAGAACTATCTCTATAGAGAATGAATAGGTTTTATATAGAGAAATTATTCTTGGGTAAATTTTCTATAGAATTCTATAAAAACTCTTAAACCTCTATAGACTTTCTATTGAATTCTATAAAATTGTGGATATATCACTAGTAATAGAATCAACTTTACAATAGTTTTTTGGCAATTTTTTTATGAAGTTATAGGCCATTAGGATTTTGCCACTTAGCAGCGTCAGTGTAAGCTACTGTAACCAAAGATCGATTTTACTTATACGATTGTTGGTTACAGTAGCTTACACTGACGTTACGCTGCTAAAGGTGTAAATCAAAATAACTACAGTACATAAAAAAATGCCCAAAAAACGATTCGATCGATTTTACTATAGTACTATTTTTGCTTACAGTATACACTGACGTCACGCTTCTAAAGGGTTAAATCGTAATAGCTACATAAAAATAAAAATAAAAAAACGATTTTGAAGTATTTTCCCACAAACGAACGTATTTACGTATTGTTATTGTTTTGTGGGCCCTAAGCAAATATCAAAGGGGCGAGGCTTATCGTAAAGATCCATTGTATTAAACAAAAATTAAGAATCTATTACGTTCTATACTATAAATAAAATTAAGTGCATGTATTAAATATTTGTATATATAGCACCAGGGCTTACATTTGGCGCTGACAGAATCGTATACATATCATCATCATCATCGTCATCGTCATCGTCATCGTCATCGCCATCGCCATCGCCACCGCCACCGCCACTCCCCCCCCCCACACCGCTGGCGCAACCCCTGTACGTAGTTTCTCCAAAGGAATCAAGTGCTACACATGAATATTTATATCCACCTTGGCTAAGGTTTCGTAAAAAATGTCTCCACAAGTCGCCGTTTATTACAGCGCCACCAACAATAAGAACGAGATTTACCAAAGATCTTATAAACACAAGATAGCGTTCTCCGCGATTTACGCGTGCAAATTCTGTAATAAGGCATGAATGGCGCCCTCTTGCTAAATTGGAAACTTTTGACCCTTGACCGCTCTGACCATACTTTTCCGTACTCAATCCTGTGAACAGCAGAACAGGAACCATCTCAGATCCATGGCAACAGATAGGACGCCCTCTTCCAAAACTGATTACTTTTTCTCTTTGGTATAATAGCGCATGAATGGCGCCCTCTTGCTAAATTAGAAACTTTTGAACCTTGACCGACGCTTCTATTTGTTACGCGTAAATTGCGGAGAACGCTATCTTGTGTGGATTTACCCACAAGCTGGGGGTGGTGTGCTGAAGCTACCTGAGTAGAGACTATCCACACACTACCTCAACCGAGGTAAAAGAATACAGTAGGCCTATAACCCCTACTTTGGGACACCCCTATTCAAAGAACATCCTATTAAGGGGACACTTTTCTGTGAAACTAGGGGAAGTATATCGTTTCAACACTATACTACCAAATCCTATTACGGGGACACCCCTATTAAAGGACAGGGACAGTTTCTGAGTGTGCCAAATTGTCAAATCAAACCTCTATTAAGGGGATATTTTTTATCGTAACACTAATTTTGTTTTCTTGTACAATACAACTATAACATATATTCAAAATAACAATATTATAATAAAATTTACATTTCGACAACTTTTGAGTGATAAATTGAACATTTTTTTTCATCCTTAAAATGGATATCGGTAATGGCCCACTGTGTGTGTTTACTTTGTATTTCTTTTTCCTGCGAATATAAGATTTGACTATTCATAATGGAATTTTTTTTCTTGTTTACTTTCACATAGGAGTTAAATCCATACTGTAACCCTCATCCTCATTTCTAATCCATAATCTATTCATTCTGCAGTATTTGCCATAGCACTGGAATCTGAAACAATATAAAACTTGTTGTTTTAATTACATTTATTATGATTACATCATAAATTTATTTTGCCTTGCAAATTATTGTTACAATTTAGTTTAATTTATATTGTAACTATAAAAGAATCTATGTCATTGTATGACTACGTGCCAAAACCCATATTAAGGGGATAATTTCACGTTAGTGTCCCCCTAATAGGGATACCCCTGTTCAAAGGGAACCCCTTGACGAGACACTGTTTTGGTCCCAGTGGTGTTTCTATATAGGGTTTCTAATGTATTAAAGTTTGTGCTATTGTACTTTTAAACTTTGTGCGGACAGTATTTCTAAAATTTTCTATGAACAATTTATGAACAGAAATAATTCATCGATTGGAGCGAAATAACACGTTCTGATTTGTCAGAGGTTGAGTTTGTGACATTCAGGAAAGGTTCATTGTATTTAGGGTAGGGGTGTATTCAGGGGGGCCGTGGGAGCTGCGGCTCTCCCCCCCCCCCCTCCCCTGTACACAGTGTTAACATTTTAAAGCTTGTTCTTTAGCCAATACAAATTCTTTCCTGGGATCACTCAAAATTAATACTTCTAAAATATGTAAATATGCATCAGTACATGTTATACAGAGGCCTAATAGAACACATAGGCCTAAGTGTGATTTAAAAAAATCTTAAATCCATCAATCCCAGGCCAGGTCTTTCAAGATATAGAAATGCGATACTGTATGGTTCAGTTTCGTTTTTAT